TGCAAAGGTCCCCTCTTGCGACCCTTGTGTTTTAAAGGCTTGCAGCGTTTCCTACGAAAATGGAAATGGCCTTTTGGATATCGCAGCGACTGCACCTTGGATTCAACTTTTCTCTGCTGGCGCCACAACTCTAAAACTACTCTAAAGTCTGGCTGGCAGGTAGCGGGATGGACACTCCTTTGCTATCCTTGAGGGACATCTTTGGCAACAAGGGCCACCTTGTGGAGTACCAGTCCCTTGTTTAATCTCTTCCATGTGCCAGCCTAACAAATGCGTACCCTTTTGATCACACTTAGGTCCAACAGTGAGAAGGACAAGGTTGCCCGTCTCTTCTTGGAGAGAAACTTGGATCCGCCCATCATGCATCTTGGCTACCATGGATGCGGTCAGGTTTGCCTTTCTTGCTTCTCTTACTCTCTTAGGAGCTATTCTGATGTCTTTGAAGTGGACCCTGGAGCTTTAGAACACAAAAAGGCACAACAAACACACTGGCTGAGCTTTTGAGACTGTACTTTTTGGGTTGACATGCCCTTGGCAGGTTGGAATGTATTCTTCAGGGTTTCCTTGCACACCGCACTCTGCTTTGGGGAAGCGATTGGGCCTACGTGATAAGAACTGCAAGCAAATGCACATGGTCTTCAGCAACATCAGGGAGTCCAGCCCTGCAGACACTTATCTGCATCGATCAGCTTTACCACACATGCCGGCAAAGCACACCACACATACTTGCAAACCGATCCTGAGTGTGGGGTGATGGAGAATGTCCGGGGCATCATGCGATCTTGGGATGAGATTGAGCCCATCATGAAGAGGGAACTTTCGGAGAATCTTTGGCCCAAGTGGTGAACCCAACATTGCTTAAATGCGTGTTTTTCTGGGCCCAAGGTACAAGATTGCACTGGTAGCACTGAACCCGCATCTTTATCACAATGAATTGTTTGACATGTTGGAAAGGGGGGTGGTGAGGCCAAAAAAACATATAAAAACTAAGGTCAAAGCTTGGAGCTCCTATTTCCAGAGACAGGGTATACATCCTATTTGTTCGGGAATCTTTGCTGAGCACCGAAGCCAAAGACGACTTTGAGAACTTTGCCCAGAACCTAGCCAAAAAGCTTGAGATGCCGTCCTCAACAAAGTGGTGCCTTACCTTCAATCCAATCAGTGGGGGGTGATACTGAGTCTTCAGTAGGAAATGGAAGCAGCTGTTTGTGTTCTTCAGATTCAGGAGCAATCTTTTGATGTCAAACAAGCATACCTGGGTGGCAGCATCTATGGAAGCCCGAGCGAAGCGAGCGCAAAAACATATGAAAACAAGGAGGAATCTTGGCACAACAGTTTACTGATCTCTTTGCCACCCCCTGGATTTTCTTCAATTGTGTTCTTTCAGGCCCATCATGAAGAGCAAGTGGATCCAGCACCATCGAGCATGGGCTGCCAAATTCAAGGTGGGTAGATTCACTGCTTCCATCTCCAATCAACTCAAACTCAAGTGAGGTACGCAAAGCTGCCGGCTGCTTTTCGAAAATCTGCCCAATTGGGGTGAAGCAAATCTCAACTCGTCGAGAATTGGATGCCGCTTGGACCATCGCATGAGTGTACCCAAAGAATCTGTTTATATAAGACCTGAGGCTCTCGACAAAATTGTGAAATGCGATGAAACCTTCCTGGTGGCCAACACATCACAGAATATTCACAGGATGAATGCCACAAGTGGTGATAAATTTCCTTGCATCACGTCAGATCCCTAGATATGTGACGTTCTTGTTTTAGTGGATTGTGTCTAAGTTGGAGAGTCACAGGCCCTCTGGCACCTTCTTCCTCAAGCGGAAACAGCGATATCTCACTGGTGACTCAGCTGCTCACTTTCTGGGTTCTGGAAGCACTTGCCTGCTGCGTCAACCAATGTTGGACCAAGGACTGGAAGCTTTGCTACTTATGGGCCTGAGGATTGACCTTATGGACCTCAAGGGCTTCACTGATCGAGCCACTTGCTGTGACATTGGCATGAAGGCATATATGCTTTAGATCAATCACAACAAACATGAATGTTTCAAAGGACCTCCACAAGCTTGCTGGCAATGGGATGGCGATGAGGGCTCTATTTGCAGCACAATGCATTGTGTTGAAAGCTTTGGATTTCGATTGCACAAAGGAGTATTTGACCAGCTCCTAGTGCAGCGTGTGCCTTCACCAATTAATTCGTTCCCCAATTCATCAATTGTGAAGGATTGACCAAACAGGACCCGGGAGAAAATTAAACAGCTGTGCAGTGCATGTTACAGTTTGTAAGTTGAAACATGCAAAAACAACGAAACGTCTCACTTACCCTCCTGTCCCTGCTTCCCTGCTCAATTCTATCTAGCACAGTGGAGTGGCCGGTCCCGGTGGCGCGCCTCTCCTGACAGAGTGATGGGGGTCCTCTGTCGATACGATGACAAGGAAGACGAACTCCTTCAAACGGCCGGTGGTTGCCGGGCTGGTATCGGCCGCTATGATGAAACTGAAAGCTCAGCTGACGAGTCAGAAGATGAATCTTTGTCTGGGACACCTAGCTCATGATTAAAGAAATTCATAATAGTCTATTGTTCTGTCGCTGCACTGCGAACACATCTAAGGAGTGCTTCCCCTTCTTCTTCCGTTGAAAGTGGATCTGTTGAGAAAGGACAGAAAATTGATATGCATTGTGGGCTTCTTGAATCTTTTCATTCTTTTGGAGATCCAGAGTCAGAAGCCAACTCAAGTTTTGCCATCAATGGCATGGATGTGCATCGCATCCGGGATCTTGTCCGGAATCCGCCTTGGCAGTGCGGGTGCGAGGTGGATTTGAAGTCGGTGATAAAGGTTTGCAAGGCGTTTTGGAGCCTGGACAAGGAGCGGCAGGACTCCATCCTGTGGAGTTTACAGAGCCACGCGAAGCCTGGATCTTCCTGGTTTATTGAAGGCCCATCAGAACATACTTATTCTTGGAACACACATTGACATGCCGCCTGACAAATGTCCTTTTGTTCTACAGGCCAGCATGTGTGCCGGTTCTACTGGATGAGACTGATGGGGCTGGGGAAGGAGCGGCTTTCTCGCACCAAGCGAACCTTCAGAGGGTTCGATGAGAGACATCTCAATAGAGCCCCGGTTGGATAAACATTGTGTTGGTTCATATTTTGTTGAAAGTGCTTTGTTGTTGCACCGCACTCATTGGTACTGACTGAGGAAACTCACATCAAGCATCCCATCAAACCGCCTCTGTGGTGAGCTTCTTCAGTCATATGTATCACACGGCTGGCGAATCGATGCCGACAAAGTGCCCTGGATCATGAGTCATGGCATGCTTTACAATAAATGTATGTCTTCAGTTTGTTGGCATTTGTTGCACAAAGGATGGATACCAAAAGCGCGGGGCACGATGGTGGCGAGCGTTTGAGGGAGGAGATGCTGAAAAGATTGGTTGATCGACGTTTATTGGGGCCAAGTCAGCAGGTGCTTGGAGTGCAGCCTGAAGAGCTCCCGTACAGGGAGCTGCCACCGTGCACCATAGCAAGCTTATACATGATGTACCAATCATTTCACAGAGCCTCGTTGTCGACAGGCCCACCAGCATCCAAATCTTTGTTCTACCCAATTGCAAAGCAGTGGACAACAACATGCCTTGGAATCCGAAGGCAGGTGGAGCATGCTATGTGTGTGGAGTGCCAGTCATTGAGGGCAGCTATAGCCCGAACAACCAACTTCGAAGATCATGCAAGACTATGCGACCGCTTGTTACAGCACTACCACGAGACATGGCAAGATCGTATGTGTTACTGGCTTGCACGGGACCATGCTCAGGTCGCCGATTCAAATCTGCTGGTGGTGATCGTTGACAGCTTCGACAAATCGAAGCTCCACCTTCCAGCCTTCCCATTGAAGAGGGTGCCCAAAAGGGGGATCTACGAGAAGTACCTGAGAGTCTTGGCGCTTATAGTTTATGGTCTGTCTACTAGCTATTTGGTGGCAGCTTTGGCGTGGCAACATTTTCTTGAATTAAGGAGCCAATGTAATTTTGACGGCGGTACTCATCCACGGACATGGCTGCTGGCTCTACTTGGGCAGCCATGAGGGAGTTTCTGGAGGATCCTCCTGGCAATGGGAATGTGTTCCTCGGCTCTTGAATACTGTATACTGAATTGGGAAAAGAATGCAAATTGAAAGCTATTTTTGATTGGTCCAGGTGATGCGATCCTTGGAGAAGGCTTTTTGCAAGATGCGAGCAGAAGGGAGACCATTCCCACAGGAGTCTCTCAGCTGTCACACAATTCATTTCAATTGCATTTCATTGAAATTTCTTGCTGTGCAACCCACACAGCAACAGCAAGGCTGTGGCTGCAGTCTGACAATACTGTCAAAGAGATTCGCAATACATATACTCAAAGAATCTTGAGCTCTTTGGTTCAGTCAAATGTATTCTCCACTGCAAGTGTGGCCCACCTTCGGGTGGGCCACACTCATGAAGACATTGACTCAGTGTTGCTTTGATGATTTATTGATTCATGATGTTTTTTTGCTGCTTGTGGACCGTGGCTGATTGGAGCGGTGCGCAGCAACCAAGTTTCAGTCTGGCAGCTACATCCTTGGCGGCAGCATCAGACCTTCAAACACCCCAGGACATCCAAAGCCGGCTGCTGCGCACATTGGGTCCAACTTTTCTCAAGCGTGGCTGGAATTTTGATGTGGAGATCATGGGAACAGTTACTAGGCACCAACCAACTTCATGTTGATGAACTGTTGCTCATGTCAGCTTGTCCCTTCTTTACCTGCCAAGGTTCGAGATTGGGCAAAATTGGCTCCTGACCGGGTTACATTCAAGAACTGCTTCAAGACCCGGAAGTTTGAGGAGGACAAGGATACTGTTCCAGTGCCCCACATGTTCACCTACATGACCCGCAGCAATATGCCAAACCAAGGAGTCGGAATTCCTTGTGCTGAAAGGGTGCCCCGATCTTTGAGGTCTTCGGATGATTCCGGCCGAGACGTGTTTGTGCTTGTCAAGCAGCACATGTCATCTCAGGGATTGTGCCAGGATCCATTGCTGTGTTTGCCATCGGCTTTGTTGCATGAGTCACAAAATTTCCTGCGAGATGGAAGCGGGAACACAAGTTGCACAAGGACTTGGGCGCTGGAATCCGAGCGATTGGGTGAGTTGGACATGTTGAGGAAGGCTTTGCACAAAGATTTTCCTTACCTCCAGCGCTCATTGCGCTGGTATGACTCTCATCAGAACAAGCCTGAGCCTTCAAGTGTACCTGAGTTGAGCTTCTTGCGCAACCCAGCACCGTTTGGCCCTAATCTGCATGAGTACAGATTGCCAGCCAGGCCAGAAGCTGCTAAGCCGCATCAGCTACAGGTTGTGTTTCACCGGGCGTGACAAGATAGAACCGGGTGGGAGAAGAAATTTGAGTGCTGTGAATCTGGTTTCATCACAAGTGTGATTGCTTGCCACCTGCAAGACAACATGTAATAACGTCTTTACAGGGAGAATGCCATGTCGGCTCCAATGGAAATGAAGATGGAACCGAAGGCAGAAGCTGATACTGAAACGCAAGGGGTGTTGGACCAACTATGCGCTTACTTTGAAACTGCTTCTTGGCTAAAACCTGCTTGTTGGTCTCTCAGGGGCAGCTGAGGCATGGTTTCGGATTTTTCTGCATCTGTAGGTCCTGGGCATGAAGAATTTGGGCGATCATGTGAATGCTATGTGGCAAGACGTGGCCAAGATGGAACAAGTCAGTGACTTAAGTGACAAAAGTAGCTTGATTCTGTTGCTTTTGTTTGGCATTCATAAACTCTTTGGCTTGCCAGGCGGTGAATGAAGTGATTTATGCAAACTTTTCACCAAGAAGGATGCACACTACATCCATTCCCTTGGATTCTGTGGACGAACTGTATCTTCCATTGACTGCCTTTGACTTCGGAAGGGGCTCAAAGAACGGATGTCGGGGGTTCAAACAAAAAAGTTTGTATTTTGGGTTGAGGCTAGTCTAGTTCTTTGCACTCTTTTCCCCTGCAGTCTTTCCAAACAACCAGCAGATCTATGTCATCTACAAGGAATTCCTGGAGCATGGCTACAAAGGTGCCCTCGGCACGGTTCTGATCAAGTTCCCGCACAGAGATGGGACAAGATCAATCCCTGCTGGATCAGTAGGGCTGGTGGACGGATTTGCGAAGATCATGGTGATGCTTTCGGTGGTTCTGTTCATCAAGGAGCTGGAACTGCTCGACCAAGCTCTAGAGGACCCTACCTTGAGGAAAACCTTGCAAAGTTTTGCCGACATTCGTTGCAGCTACGAACACCACGAGAATCCTTCTTTGTTCCATCTTCAAAGCCTCAGACACTTGTCTTGCATTCAGTGCTGCGTCTTTTTCATTGTGTTGCATTTGAACTCCCAAATTCACACCTTGACAAGAATTGGGCTATGTCACGGCAGAGAAGATCTCACCGAGCCCGATCACAATAGTTGCAGAAGTACATGAGGCAATCAAAATTCAAAAGCGACTTGCTGGAAGCTTGTCTGCGTTGTTATGTTGCGGTGAAATTTGATTTGGTGTTGCTGCGGCTGCAATTACGTACCTTAGGAGGCCGAATGGCTACAAAGGACTGTATGTCTCGGGTCATTGCTGACTACAACCGTCTGTGCTCCAACAAGAAGCACAAAATAGACGCTGGCCGTCGTGGCCTCATCTGGAACCTGCTCCTCAGATGTATTGTGCTTTTGAATTCTGTCTTGCACTGAAACTTTTAGGATGCTTGCTGCATGTCAGTGCCAAGGCTCCGGTGTCCACCACCTATTTTGGAGCATCTCCATGCCCACTACGATAGCTTCAAACCAGAACAATCGGGCAAACAAGTTGCACATTAGCAGATTCTCCAAACAAGATTATAATATATATATATATAATAAACGAACCATAAAATCGTACCTGAGGCATCACGCATGAAATCCTGGGGAACGAGTTCTATGTACCAACCAGCACAAGCCGTCGAGAACATCCACTTTTCCGAGGGAAAGCTTTGTATGAGGAGATATTGTCTCCTTCAACGGAAACCTGCATGGCTTACATGAAGAGAGCTACGGAGGACAGTCCAGGATGTTTCTTGGTCACCAAATCAGTTTACCAGTCTATCTGTTTTCTTACCACAGGACTTCAGCAGAAAGGCCTCTACAGAGAGCTCACAGAAACTCAAGGAGCTTGATACTCAAATTGGATACAGTACATGTCTTGTGATTTCAACATGTTCCATCCAAATCTGATTTGGCCCGCAGAAGTCACATCAGCTGAATGAAGAGGGTCACCTCCCCCTCCACGACATCACTTGTTTGTGGTGCTGGCTGAAAACGAAAATGGAGACCATGTTCAATGCTGATGTGGTGGCGCGACACCAGAAGCTGTGGGATGAGGGGTGCTTTGCCTGCAGTCAGAGTGTGAAGCAACAAGTAGTTAATGCAGTAATTGATGGAAAAATATATTTGGCCGGATGTGATTGATGGAAAAATATATTTGGCCGGGTGTGATTCGTGGAAAAATATATTTGGCCGGGCGTGATTCGTGGAAAAATAGGTTTGGCCGGGTGTGATGTGGTTTTTGAAAACCACGTCGCAATTTTGGTGGAAAAATAGGTTTGGCCAATCACATTTTGATCTTAAATTTCAAGTTCAAAAAGTGATGTGGTTTTCAAAAACCACGTCACAAAATCAATGATCCCGGGCAAGTCAATGATTTCTGGACTTTGGAATAAAAATCAAAAGAATGATTGAGGGCTTGAAAAACAATGATTTTGTGATGTGGTTTCCAGAAACCACGTCACAATTTGATGTTGATTTTTAACTTATTTTTGTGATTGATCCATAGAATGTTTTATATGTTTTGTATTTTTTGGGGGGTGTCGTGTTGAATTTGAACATTGCTTTCACTCGCAGGCATCTTGATCCTGATTTGCAAACCATAATGAAAGCAGCGGATCCAGAGATGGAGTGGTCGCGAATACCTTTTGTGCTCGAGGCTGTGGGCTCACTGTTTGTTCACTGTATCTTGTGGTTTGCTAAGTTTTAAATGTTTCAGATTTGTAAGCAAAGGGGCGCCACCAAACGACACAGAATGGACAGTAAACCGTTCGTGTTGGAGAGTCTCGACAAGCCTTTTGACATTCATTCCTGCATTAGTGGTGGACATTATTTTGCAAAATTTTGCAGGCACAAGGGCGTACCTTAGAACAATACGTGCAAGACCAGCAAGACAAGAGTCGCAACGCGCTGCAAAAGAGCTTGCAAGCAGCTTTTGCTGCTTGGAAAGAAGAGCTTGCCGCGGACCAAGCAGCTTTTGCTGCTGAAAAGCTGGCGTTGCCTGGCTATCAGTTGGTTGTGTCATCAGATGATCATGTCCAGATTGACTTTTGAAGTACAATTTATGCTTGGTGTGGACAACTACTTTGTGGTGATGAGGTAGGAGTGAAAACAAGACTATGACAAACACAACATTGGTGTTGTGAGTACTTGTGAACAAACCTGAGTAGTGAGGGAGGGCTGGAGACAACTGAGGGCAGACCGGGAAACATCAAAATCACGCTCCAAGATCATTGCGCAGCTCCAGGACAAGCTGACTGATAGCTTTTATACCGCATATTATTGAATTGTGTCAAACTAATTTCAAATTAAGTTTTTGTACACTTGGGCATTTTGGTGATAAGTTGTTCCGCTTAACATGCCCTTAATTTTGTACACTTGGTCAGGAAGCGCACGACAGGTCCTGGCAAACGGTTCGAGACTATATGGTTCAGCGCATGGCGGTGTTTACAGGAAAAACCGCGGAAGCTGAGGGAACCATCCTTCCACAACTTCGCAAATGGTTGAAGGAATCATCGCAAGACTACTCTGCTCCGAACGAGCACACTGTGATGCTGTTCTTGAACTGCCCTACGATAGGAGTCATGAGCGCAACACAGCGTTCCTGGTTCTTGAACTGCATTTGCAACATCTTAGCTGATTGGCCACGTAATGGCATTTGCTTTGTGATCCATCCAAACCGAGCTCAGCAAGAAACAAGGCCAGGAACATTCAGTACTGCTGTGAAACCAATTCTGCTCTGTGTTTTGCATGTTTGCTGCTCGTCGTGTGAAAGCGCCACCCTAGGAAGACACCTATGAAGAAAGCTGAGATCTCTGACAAGCATGATGATGATGACGCTGCAGAATCTGACATGGATGACGATGACATGGACGACGATGCTTTAATTCGAGAAGTTCGCTACAAATTGGAGATTCTCGACAATAACGAAACTTGTGAAATTGACAGTCGTGAATTAATACTTAAAAGTTGGACTTGAAGAAACTAACAAAACCTGTGTGCACAGTGTACAAACCCTGGCTCCTCATCTCAGGACACAATTCCTGCTGAAGGAGCGCAATCTGCGAGTCCGCAATATGACCTGGGTGTTTTCTCCAGCAGCTTGGTCTAAAAGAATTGCAACCAGCAGTTTGTGTGGGTGCTTCTTGATGTGCCATCCACTCATGAAAAACATCGATTATATGCTGAGATTTGTGTAGTTCTTCCTTTTTGTGATACGCTGAAACCATCTGTGAGGCTTCAGTCTATGGAAAAAGGGACGGGAGCATCCAGGGGTTTGCAGTGGTGCACAAGGACAACCAGAACCTCCTCCGATCAACAAAGGGGTGGAAGACTGGAACAGTGTTGGACATATCAATGCTGGGTAGGTCAGAAATGTGGAAACCTGATCCACCGGTGTCTTGGCAGACTTTTGAAGATGTCTTTTTAAATATATCCTTTTGAATAGGTGTCTTTCACACATGATGACACTATGTGAAACCACAAATGCTACATGGTTTGTAGCAGGCAAGATCACATGTGTTTGGTCTTTATGTTTGTGTGTATTGAATGGTGCAGAGAAACCTTAAGACTCATAGAAATGATTCCAGGGTTCACCGTTTAAACTTTCACTGCCCTTCTCAGAAAACATACACACATGCACAACAAGATCAACAAGGGCAAAACAAACACATCACATCCATTCTTTGAACCACATTGGCAAGAAAGAACCCTCTTGGGAGCCATGCGCAAAACTCTGCAGTCAAGGTGTCCCCAACCAATCCACGATCTTCGTCATTGCCTCACTTTGGCAGGGCATTCACCGATATCCAAGAACAAAAACAGGTGCCTGGACATCTCTATTGATCTACTCTGATCTATCTAGCTGTGAGTTACAGTAACTAGCTTCCTTGTCATTGTTTCAGCCACACAGATCCAAGGTAAGTGCAGGCACATCATTTGTAAGAGCTACCATGGAAGCCTTCTCACTTCCAACAGAAAAAGGCTGCTGTCTGGTGGATCTGTTTGGCTATGATGGCACCCCGATGCTGGCTTGCTTGGAGGAGTGGCCGGGGCAGTGAGCATCTGAATTTACAACAAAAACAAGTCTTAACAAGTGGTGCCTACCCATCATCCATCAACACTTTTTAGACATTTTGGAAGCCTTTGCCTGGCAGGAGTTGTGCGAAGGCAAGAATTGCTGTGTCGGCACTGTTTGCCTAGACGCATCTGGCAGCTCTTTGTCCACTAGAGTCGCAAACAAGGTTTTTGATGCTGCTCGTTCCAAGAAGCTCAAGCTCAATGCCTTTCCAGATATTTCGTCTTTGGTAGCTTCTTTGAAGCGTGGGCATGCGGTGGAGAGCACTACAACCTACAGGGTCACCGCCCGCCAAAATGACAGATTGGTTATAGTCAAGAACTTGGCGGAGAAGTGGCTTAATGAGGAATCAACAAGTGATGAAGCAAAACGCATTATCGAGCAGCACAACAAAGAGCACAATGCAAATGGTGAGTATATGCTGACCACTGATGATGGGACCGGGGCCCTGCTTTTTTGTTCAGTTATGTTCAGTTCTTTTTCTCAACGACCTAGACGCACCCCCGCTTCTTTGTCAAGTTGCAGGACAGCATCTGCGCCTGCTGTAGAACCACCTCCAAAGCGAGTGAAGTTGGAAGAGGCGAGTGATCAGACCATCTCCAAGCTTGTGAACCCGCAACTCGCTATTCCGAAGAAGGATGGTTGGGCCTGGGATATTTGTGGTATCCTTGATTCAGAACCTTTTTTGTGTGACATCGCGTGAATCCAAGGACCCGACTTCAAATCAACAATACACTGGACTTGGTCGCAGGGAACATGAATGCAGGGAGTGAGAATTCAGCCGCAACATCATTGTTCGTATCAAGCAGGTCTCGCAATCAGCTTTTTGAGAAGAGAGAGTTGTCTCCTGCCTGAAGTTCATGCCCTGTGAAAGTTGAAGTTCAGTTCCTACCTTTCTTGTCTACATAAAACCAGGTTCCTGGTTTAGGGATCATGTGAGGTTTGGATTCGGACCTGGTGAGTGGCGGGACGGATCAGCAACTGAGATTGAATTTGGAATTCTGATTGGGAAACCAGTGTCATGCAAAAATCATATGTTATACGTGTCTTCTTCAGGATGCCACGGATGTCCAACAAAATTCCAGTCGCTGGTTCAGCTTTGATGTCAAGAAGGATGACCTCATTTTCCTGGAACGCAAGTCAGTGCCGGAATCTCTTCGGCAAATGGAATGCGTGGAGTCCGTGATGAGCGTCCAGAGTATTCTGTCGGATTTGGAAGACCAGGGAGAGGCCTCTTAGAAGAAACCCTTGGCCATCATGTATGTTTTCCATAGAGCAAACAAATATTGCCAGTTTACTTGCAGCATCAGCAGTAACATTGTATAGTTTAATCAACACGATTCACAATAATGTGCCATATGAAAACTCCGGAACGTCTTGATTCTGCAATCATTGGTTGTTTAGAGTTTAAGCCTGGCTTCATTTGGAAAAAAACATCTTGACAGGTGAAGATCGAACTGAGTCACCACAACCTGGATACATCAACAAAGGAGGTGACATCAACCAAACCCCTGGTGTTTGTCATGGACCAGATGGCAGAACCTCAGGGGAAAAAACGCAAGGTGATCATCACGACAAAGAATTTCGGAGCTCGCCTGGACATTGGCAAATTGAAGGAAGGTCTTGGCCCCTCCTTGCAACTTTTTTGGCGCTGCAGGCTTCTTGCTTGAAAGAACAAATCTATGGGGCATTGCTAAAGGCTTTCCCCGTTAACTGCTGAACCAAGGATATCGACGGGAACTCAAGGCGAAAAGCTGATTGTTCCCATCAGGCCGTGCATTTGCACTGCAGGCCCTGTGGATTTGAGTGAGTGCTCAGCTCGCTTGTTGTAGTTGGCTCTTGATTCTTCGGGGTGGGTGCAGGGGACACAATGCAAAACAAACTCACCACTTCTAGCACCAATACAAAACTTGAGATCATGAGAAAGCTGTTGCTATTGTGCTGTCCAGCGCCCCTAATCCTTTCCAAGTATATCATGCAGCATGCTTCAAAGAGGGTTTCACACCATTGTGCAACTAAGCCTCCTATATAGTTCTCCTAGTTTTTGTGGACTGGTTGGCATAAATTTTGTGTTCTCCACACCCGTACTGATCAATTAATGTTTTCTCAGGTCTTGGTCGTCATGATCATGCTGCGCCATCGAACATTTTGCAAAGAGGAACAAACTGTGCTGTGCAAAAAAGGTAACAAAACAATTCTTTCGCTATTTGTCACTGCTGTCATGTTTGCTTTGAGCATGCGCTATGCAAACTGCATGCACATGGCAACCTGGTTTTCACACACAGGCCGACACCCGGCTGCTTGAGTTTCAGGTCTCAATTTGGGTTGACCTACAGTATATTGTGTGTGCCAGGGTTCCATGGCATCCGCACCTCATGATGATGATAGTGTGGAAGAAGTGGAGCTGACTACAGTGATCGCGGCACCTGCTTCATGTCTAACTAGGTTCTGAAGCGTGTTAAGCCTTTGGTTGAAGTGTTTTGTCTTGGCTTTGCCAAGGCTTTCAATCTGAATCAGATTCTTTCTGATGGCCCTATCGAACCGACACCCCCCCGGAGAGCAACAACCACACCTCCTGCATCAGCCAAAGCAGCCCCTGCTGCGCTGCTGCCTGCAGGACAAGAAGTATCAGATTCTCTTGAAACAGGTCTTGGAGTTTGTAATATAATTTAGCATAATTTAGCAAGTCAATTTGATACAACTACTATTTGAAGTGAATGCTCTCTGTGTAGGATCTTCTGGGCCTAGCATGGCACACACCTTGCCACCTCGGGTTGGTGACTCCGATTCATCTGGGCACAAGGAAGATGGCAAGAAAAAGAAAGAACAGAAGGGCCAGGCCAAAGGAAAGAATAAGAAGAAGAAGGGTGATGCAGAAGATGAAGATGAAGAATATTTTGACCCCTTCCATGATCATGGCAATGAAGATGGCGATGATGATGATGACGATGATGCTGATTTGGCTGGGGGCGCTGGTGGAGCAAGTGATGGTGTGAAGAAAAGGCCATCGGGAAAAGGCAAAACCCCCAAACCAAAAAGGACCTCATCAGCAAAGAAGGGAACTACCACACGGAAACGGGCCCGCGTGATGGATGATGACTCTTGCTTGCATGCCAGCCAAACAGGAAAATTACTTTTCAATTATATATTTCAACATCAATGTAGTCTTCAGTCGCTCTTGGCCTATCTTAGGATTGTTCAGCTGATGACGCAATGTCAAATGAACTTCCATTCTTCAAGGATATTGAGGGGAAGCAACTTGGCAGCTAAGTCTTAGTGGGCAGTGAGGCTTTTTCATGGGCTTGTTCATGTGCGATTACAAAAAACATAATTACATTGTATTACTATAGTCAGGCAACATCCAGATCCCGCTCTTGACGATCCAATTCTGGTCCAAGAGTCCATACCGGAACCTGACAATCAGCTTGGATTGGAGTCGGAGGACGCTGCGTGTCCCACCCAGTCACCTCCTCACCACAGCCCTTGCTCACATGCAGGAACCGTCTGGCCTCCGCGACACTCTCATCGATGAGCCACAGCACCTTTCGCCATATTATCCTGACATGGAGGAGGCGGTGTCGGTCTGTGCGCATATTTTGTGAATGTACATCTATGGATGTGTGTCTGCGACGGTTGCTTTTTCTTTATCGCACTTTAAAGTTACTTGCCTGAGAACATCTTTGGGGAGAAATTATTGAAGTCTTGCGTGCCTAAGGAGGCTGAGTATCGTCGAATGAATGCCTCAGAGAGCCTGTTATCTTCACCAGGTATGAGGAGGAATGCAGCTAGGCTGCATGCTAAATGTCTGCTGACTGACTTCAGAGTTAAGCGCATGGTGACAAGATTCTTCCTTTGTTTTGTTCCTGAGGGCCCGGAAGGTGTTATTCCTGAAGAAGACTATGAGAATGAGCTAACTCAAAATCTTCGGCTTCAGGAACATGACACGGCCACCATCCAAAAGGAATGGACCCCAGAAGGCCATTGGGCCTGGAGTGCCAGCATGTACCGCGAGCTGGATTGCGTGGATCTGAAAAAGAAACAGGAAGCAGCGCATGATGATTCTGACACAGAGGCCTACCTCTTTGGTGAGATCCCTCCAGGTGGTGGAGATGCGGGGGATACTGGTCCGACTTCAGATTTCAACACAGCGGACGCAGCTTCCATGGAGAAGGAAGACATGCCTGTGCCCTATGACTATCCAGACCCCGCTGTTGAGCCCATCAGCGCACAGATCCAAGGAGCATCGGCAAAGCATGCTGAGCCCAGCGTCGATGTGGAGTTGGAGTTGGTTGAGACACCAAACTCAGAAAGTCCTGCTGACCCAACAGAGATCCCCAGTGACCCCAGCCTCACACTCGCGGAGGCTGCGCAGCTTTGTGACTCTCCAAACGAGGCAATTGTTATTCCTGATGGCTCAAGCCCAACAAAGGAAGACCATGATTCAGGAAGGGATCGCCCCCAACCAATGCCAAAGACGCTTCCCGGCAAGCAGAAGCCTGGGAGCAAGGGAGGTTCCCAGAAGAAATCACAAGTTGGCAAACCGAAATCCAAGGCCAAACCCAAAGGCAAACCCAAGGCCAAAGCAGCGAAATGCAAACCCCGGCCCAAAGCTCGTACCAATGGCAACTCACAGCCAAAAGCAAGGGCGTCCAAGAAGAAGGCTGAGCAGCAGGATGCCGATGCAGCCACCAGCAATCCCAAGGCCCTCAAAGCCCTCAAGGAGAAAGAACTGGACCTGTGGAAGAAGCTGCATTCTGCCTCTTGGCCCAATGAAACTTACTTGGTACTTGAACAGCCCTCCATCTAGAAACCAAATGATCCCTGCTCCTTCCCAGGTCTATTCCACTGTGTGGAAAGCAGCAAAGAGTCGTGGATTGGATGCAGCTGGGAGGCGCGAGGAGGCAACCAAAGCCCGGGAGAAGTGTTTTGGCTGCACATATTTCAAGTTTAAAGAAAGTATGGAAACTATATATTTTCGCATACATTTCACCAGTGATTGGAATGAATCTTAGGTATATCAGGGAGCATGGTCCC